CTGAAATAGTGAACTTTCCTGTCATTAGAGAAGACGAGAGAAATATTGTTGGGCCGGCCCGTGGCTCACTCGGGACAGTGCGGTGCTGATAACACCAAGGCCACAGGTTTGGAACCCTATATAGGGTTCGCTCACTTAAGAGAGTGTGGTGCTGACAACACCAGGTCAAGGGTTGAGATCCCCTTACTGGTCATCTTCAAAAAAACAAATATTGTTGATGGTGGTACACAGCATTTATTCATAGATGACCTGGATGAACTGACCTCTGGACACTCTTACTCTTCTAAAGAAAGGCAGCATGAGCATACCGTGCTGCATCCTTCCAGACAGAGGTCATTTCATGCCACCACGCCCTCTCCACGTCCTAGACAGTGCCCGCTCAAGTGTTCTGGTGCCCAGCGGCCCTGCCACCATTGTGGGCAAGCCTACATGCTCAGGGGGCTTTGCAAAATGAAAAAAGATTACTTACTCAGATTACTGAGTAATCCCAGATTACTTCCTGTTAGCTGGCTACTTTGTGTTTGCTTATTTCCTGTAAGCTGAATATCGCAGTGAGAGCTGAGAAGTCCCCTCCTGGGCAGCAGTGACTCTTAGGAAGGACCCAGGATCCTGGAGAGGAGAGGGTAGGGCAGTGCTCTGTCTCTGAAAGCCGCCCTCCAGCTGCCGCATTCAGGGACTTGTAAAGCAGGGCCACGCCTTCTTTGTTTAGCTCCTGCCACTCTTGAGGCTGCTGTGTGTCAGCCTGAAAACTGGATGTCCCTTGGAATTCTTTAAGCACTAATTTTTAATTTTGACTTAATGTAAGTCATGTATCAAATATTAGTTGATCTCTCACAGTTTTTCCTACATAACAAGAGGTGTCGGGTGCTTTTTATATTTAGTCATTAGGATTGTGTTTTGAAGGTATTAGCCCCTTTTCCTAGTTCCTGGAGCCAGGCCCAGGTCTGAGAACCAAAGGAGAGACCCTCACCCTCAGGCACATACACGTTCTGATCACCACCTCACCTGCACCCTCTTGTCCCAGCCCTGGCACATCGCAGGTGCTCAAAATACTTGTGAAATGATTGGCCAGAGGTTTCACAGCTATAAGTGATGGAATACTCTAAAGATCTCCAAATATTAGATTGTCTAAAGACAGATGAACACACCTTGTAAAAATAAGCAAGTCAAGAGCACCTCTGCATTTGGAGGAAGTCTTTGTGTTAATCACATCTATTTTCTGGTAAAGGCAGGTGTTTCCTAAATTAGATTTGAGGTCATGAGTATTGCAGATGGGCAACAAAAGTGTTTAGCACTGGTAGAGAGGACACCAATTGGCATCTGTCCCTACTGTGCCTGCAGTCTCACCTGGCACCGCATGTGCCCTGCCAGCACTCGGACAGCCTTTGGCTGGGGTTTTGCCTCTGTCCATGCCACGAGTTCTAGTTGCAGCTCTTAAGGAGTATGTCCATCTTTCAGTCTCTGAGCTGTGTAGAGTCTGAGACACGGCATCAGGCCAGGCAAATCCAGGCACTCGGGAGGTGCTCAGAGCCCTGATGTGGAAAACTGTCAGAACCTGGAAGCTAGGGCACCACGCAGCGTTAAGACCCGTTCCTCTTCCACTTAACCTGGTCTGTGGCCTTGTAAATGAAATGCGCAGAGGGCTAACAGTTCTGAATTTGAGAATGAAAATCTTCTAACAATTGTTTTTGTAGAATGAAAACAAAACCATAAATAAAATGATTGCTAAAAAATGATTAAAGAGGCGAAAACAGAGCTGATGAAAGAGAAGGAAAGGAATGATGAAGATAAAGGTGGATTTAATAAGAATGCCTCTTGGGAAGACCCCAAGGGGACTTCTGACATGTGCAGTCTGTTTTTTAAGACTCAATAAACTCATGCTGTATGTGGGGTGTGTGGTGTGTGTGGGGGAGGAGTGTTTGTGTGTGGTGTGTGTGTATGTGGGGGGGTGTGGTGTGTGGAGTGATCTAATAGAAACATGTTAGATTGTTATTGGTCAGCAGCTTGTGCTGTAAGCTCCCTTTGTCTGTTTTCTCTTCTTGTGGCCCAGCAGCCTTCATGTTGGATCACAGGAGGGAAGGCAGGGAGAGGGGTCAGCTTGTAGGAAGACCTGCTTTGGTGATGATGATGATGATGATGATCCTGCATAATCTGATGCTGCTTCTGGGGAAGCTTCCAGAAACTGGGCTGGCTGTGTTGGAGCTCGGTGGGAACGCTGTGGGTATGGTTTCTTAGATTGTGCGTCCAAGGACAGGGTCTGCTTGGTAATGGAGACTTTATTGATTTTATATCTGACACCTAAAAATATTGAATAAAAACAAATAAGCATGTATTTATATATACATGTATATCTGTGTTTTGACTTCGATGGACTTTAAAATAAGCATTTCGAGTGTTTTAAATATTCCTTTAACATTTAAACACTAAGATATTCAAAATGTAAATGAAAGGAATTTGCCTAATGACAACAGTAACTTTCTTGTAAAAGGAAAATTTTCAGTGACTGTCAACTTGTAACCTTGTTCTGCCAAATCAGCTTCATGTGAAGGGGACACCACTTGGAGTCGGCTTTGGAAGGGCAGTCACAGAGCCCTTTCCACAATGCCGAGACCCACAATGTGTTCCTATATATGACCCTGTTACCTGACTTGTCCAGTATTGAAATGTGTTTAAGTATTTTTTTTTTCTGTTGCTGATAAACTGTATATCCAAATATCTAACTCTTGACGTTTTCGATTGCATTTTACGAGTTTCTTGTATAGCCTGACCATATTCAGAGTTGGAGTGGAACTGGAGATCAGCCAGTTACTCATTTAACTCTGTTGCAATTTTGCATTCTTTAGAATCTCTGAACTGCCGTAGGCATTATTTTAGAGAAAGTGAACCCAGTTGGATTAATGTTATTTGGGTAGAATTAATATGTTGAAGATCAATTAGAGTTCCCGATACCATCCCAATGTCTGTCCCAGCCATGGGCTGTGCAGTGTGCCATGTTAGCTGGGACAGGGCCTTTGGCTCAGGTCCAGCAGCTCACCAGGCAGGGGCCACACAGGGCCTGCTTCGGTTCTGGTGTAACTGAACTGAAGCAAGCTACTGGTTACTTAGGAAGTAGACACCCACATTTTACTGGAGGATTGTTACCTCAGTGCACTTGATGAGAAGTTTTACATTTCACTGTATTTCCCCTGTCATTGTTTTTCCTTAATTTATTTGAAAACTAGACCCACATTGATTCTTCAGTCCATCCTATCCTCAGGGCTTATTTTTCCAATGGTCCCAGCAGGGTCCTTTATCACCAGGAACCCATTCCCAGTCCTCTCTGCTCTCAGTGGGGTGCCTGTCTGGGGGCTCATGGTTCTGTCCCTCCTATTACACAGGCTGTTCACCCTGAGGGCTAAGTGTAGGAGGTGGCTGTGGCTTCTTCATGAGAGACATTCTGCAGACTGCTCTCCTCAGATGGTCGGCATGCTGTATCAGCGTGGAGCCACAGCTTCCCATGTCTCCAGGGATTTTGGTCCGTTGCACTGTTACTCATTTTGATTTTGATGCTGCCCTGCTCACTTTGTCAGCTGGCCTTTGTGGTCTCTCCACTGGCCTTGTTGTTCTCTGTGCTCCTCTTTACTTCTCTGCCGATGTTCTGCCTTCCCTCGCATCTCCCGGGCCTCAGCCTGGGATCCCCACTTCTCCAAGCAGCCCAGCTCATCCACATGGAGATGGCAGTTAGAAACCAGGCTTTCCCCATCACTGGCTTCACTGCCCCAGCCCTCCAGTGCTTTTGTGGATCCACCCCAAGGCAGCTGCCTGTGTATTGCTGTTTCTCACGGAAAACAGAATTCTCCCCAGTCCCTCAATCTGGTACTGTCAGTGTCCCCTCTCCACATATGTAAGACATGGTCTAGCAGAGCACCTGACTGTCCTCCACATGCCTGACCCCAGGGGCCCGGAATGCGGACACAGTGTGCTGGGCGCCCCTGGATGTCACATGGCCCTGTGGTATCGGGAGAGGACAAGCTGCTGTTGCATTGGTGGAGGGTGACGTCCACAGTCTTCCATCTTTGTTTTTTAGCTCATGCTCCTTGGTGTCGTGGTACAGGGTAGTGTCACTGTTTAGTCCTGTCTGTCATTCATTCAGCCTCTTGTTTGGCTGGTGCCTCGTGGAGGCCTTACTCTGTGCTGGACACATGGGGAGGAGATCAACTGTCTTTGTAGCTCCACCTCACACCTCCTTTCTCCTGTGTACTTGTCTTGGTGCTTGCATGGATCTCTGCCAGCTGTAGTGTGAGCCCTGCCTCAGCAGTGATCCCAGAAGCAAGTTTGCAGCCTCTTCAGCACTATTCAGATGGCCACAGGCGAGACACAAGTGAATGAGTGTGGCCGTACTCCAGGAAAATTTTATTGACAGACACAGTGACCAGCTCATGGTGTAGTTTTTCAGTTCCTTTGTAGACTGCTCTCAATTTAGATTTGACAGATATTTCTTGATGATTAGATTCAGTTCTTGCATTAGAGGCAGTACGCTGAAGAAGGGGTGCGGTGGGCTTCTACTCACACTCTAAGGCAGCTTTTGCTTTTGGTAGTGATGTTAACATTTATCGCTCAGTTAAGGTAGTGTTGGGCATACATATATTTTAAATGTGACATTATGGCAGCAGTTGGGAGGGATGGGGAGAATATCAGTCAAATCTCTAGAATCCTCCAAAGCAGAGACAAGGGAGGTGGTGTCTGAGCAGAGGGTGGTGCAACGTGAGGGTGAAGGCTGAGGGCTTTGATGGGATAAAATGTGGACAAGGTGACGAGGCCCTTATCCAAGGGCAGCTTACATTCTCATGAAGAGACAAGACATCAGACAAATACGTGCAGACTGGGTTAAATCCTGGAAGAGCTTAAATCAGTTAACAGAATAATGGGTGGAAGGCATGAGACCCTGAAGTGCGTTTGCTCAGAGACCCTGCAGATCCTGCCCAGGGCGTTCCGAGAGGTCGCCGACTGCGCCCGCCTCTATGGGTGGAAGGCATGAGACCCTGAAGTGCGTTTGCTCAGAGACCCTGCAGATCCTGCCCAGTGCGTTCCGAGAGGTCGTCGACTGCGCCCTGTTGGAGCTCTGGCTCTCCCCACTCCTGTGCTTGCAAAGGGCAGTGAGAGGTTACCCTGCCGTGGTAAGAAAACGAAGGCCAGGAAGGTTAAATGACTCTCCCGAGGCCCTATAGCTGCTTGGCACATCAAATAACATTTGTATATTATACTCAATTGTGTGGAAAACCACATCTAGAGAAAAGATTTCCAGAAATTTCATAGGTAGATTTAGCCATGTGAGAGAGATCTGAAAATATCCTAAATGTACAGATAGGAATGACCTGAATACAAGAGATGACTCTGAATAAGGCATCAGCCACTCTTTACTGTGACGCCATTCTTGCTGTCCGTGTGGTTTGGTATTTAATCTGTGTATTTACACACATATGCACTTCATACTCAGTATCCAGGCAGGCATTCAGAGGACCTATGATGAGAAGGAACTAAATGTTATCTTTGTTATAGAAAGCTGGATAGAGGAAAAAGTGGGTATTCTGACCAACAAGGCTATTTGTTATAGCAGCTAAATTGAGTTCTGAGCATCTTAGCTGTCAGGAAAAAATAAGAAAGATCTTGGGAAAAACCAACCGATCCCCAAGAAGGAACCTATAGCCAGAGGGTCGGGGAGGGGGGACTGAGGAGTCATTTAATGGGGACAGAGTTTCAGGTGGGGAAGGTGAAAGGAGTTGTGTGGATGGATGGTGGCAGTGGTTGCACCGCACTGTGAGTGAGCTTAGTGCCACTGAACCGTACACTTAAGAATGGTTAATGTGATAGATTTTATGTTACGTGTATTTTGCTGATTTAAAAAAAATTAAAATAAAAGGAACATAAAACATGGATGCTTAAAAGCAAAGAACACTGTATATGGAGCACAGTCTTTCTTCCACAACGATTTTTTTCAGACACAAGTGGGAGCTTTCTTCATATTTGCTGTTTCTTGCATCAAGCCCTGACTAAAATTCAGTAAGACAATTGTATTTAAGACTTGTGGCACTCAATTAATTGCAAAGAATGTAATTTTTGTTACTGCATATATTGACAGTTTAATTACATGAAACTTTATATCACTTTTTAAAATATATTTGATCAAATACAGATACCACAGAAATGTAATATTCACTGTTCATTCACAGTGAAATTGCATTTCATTCCTACTTTTGCCACATAATTTTACCATGAAGTGTATATGCTTTCTGTGCCTCAGTTTCCCTATCTCTAAAATGTGATAATTGTTCCTGCCTCAATTGCCATGATAATTGGTGAGTTGACTGATACCTGGCAGCTAATGAGCACGTAAAATTTCCAGTTTGGAATTTAATTGAAAATATATCTCTTAATGAGCTCCTCCCCCTTGGTTTATATTCTTGTGGATGAATATTAATAAGTATAGGAGTGAGTTCAGAGCAGCACCATATCTGAGCCTTGTTTTTAACTTAGATTTTAAACACTAAGAACACTTACTCAGCATATGAAAATGGAAAGAACTTTATTAAGCATGTCACAGTTCTCTGAACTACTTTTGAGTTATTTGTGAGAGATCACCTAGTAATATATCATTGTAAGTTATTTTTAGTGATCAGCTGGCAACTTGATTTGGTCATCCTTCAAGTTTGTCAAATGCATAGAATTGAGAACCTTTGAACTTGCAGAAAGGTTTATGACTTAGTTGTTATGGCAGTCTGTTCACTTTCTACTTGGTGCTGTGCCTTTGTGCATCCTGGGAGTTTTTTTTTTTTTTTTTCCTTTTTGTCTTTTTTCGTGACATCCTGGGAGTTTGTCACCAGGTGGTGCTGGTGCAGGGCAGGGAGAGTTGCAGCATGGAGCTGGGGGCTGTCGGGCAGACTGCTGTGGTTGAAGTTGAAGGTTTGGAAACAGATTTCCCTTCAGCTACCACACCAGGGTGCACCTGTTCTGAAGGTTGTGGTTGTCCTGTGTGTTGCTTTTCTTGAGTAGGTCTCTGCCCCCCATCGCCGTTCAGTTCTGCACCATCCCCATTTGTTCACCTGCCACTGTGGAGCCTTCAGCTGCAGAGGTTCATGTAACACGTGCTGCTCTTTATCATGAGATTAACCTTTCTTTTTTGGACCTGGGGTCTACCTCCTGGGTGTCCTGGGTTGAATTAAAATGAATAGATCGTGTAAATTGGTGCTTATAGTGTACTTCCGGGGTTTAAATTTTTCACAAGAGTGAAGTTGTGTCAAAAACCACTGACCAGCTAGTTTGCAGTATGCGTGATTTAGTGTGCTATTTTTAATTACTCTAAAGTAAAACGTTCTGATCTCTCTGGATGATGACTGTGCTTTCATTTATAATTGGCATCATCAGTGAAAATAGAAAAGCTGGATGAGAAGTCCTTATGGGCCTTGCTGGCTCACAGCACCCTGCATTTACTTAGAACCCCCTGCTAGGTTTGTCCATGTAATTAATAGGTGATCACTCAGTAGTCATGCCTCACCATTTCTGTCTCTCCTTAGGTATATGGTGCAGTGGCCAGGAGCACGCATACTGCGTCGTCAAGAGCTGGATGCCTTCCTGGCTCAGGCGCTGTCTCCCAAGCTCTATGAGCCGGATCAGCTACAGGAGCTCAAGGTAATCTATCAGCCGCATTTCATGGTCTTGGGAAGCCTTGCTTTGGATTTCAGTGTAACACAGCTTCACCAGGCAGAACTAACTGCTCAGAGCACTAAACTGATATTACTAATATGATGTGAACTTGATCGCCTTCAGGGCAAAGGGAATATTTCTTTCTAGTTATGGATTTGCCATTCCCAGTTTAGAAATGATCGATTTCACTTATGTCAGAGAAAGATTTTCCCTTGTTTACCAATGGATGTTTATTCTTGTTTTTCACATCAGGAAATAAACTTGCCTTTTTTATTTTAGGAGAGGATTCCAAACCCTGGGAGGGCTTGATCTTAAGAATTTTCTAACATCTAGGCAGAATTCTTTTTCTTATTTCATTCCATTGTTCCTAATTACAACTTTAGTTTTCTCTAAAAAATATTCTTTGCCCTTCTAGTATTATAAAATCCCTTTTAAAAGACCACTTGAAGAACCGTGTCACAACATCACCCCTATGTCCTTTTTAGTCAGTATTTACATCACATTCCTTTTAATTTTGCCTTCTAGTAATTTTTTTTGTTCTGTAATTGTTTTGACAATATTGATTTTCTCCAAGTTGACACCTAATTTTTTAGCGTGCACATCTTTTTCAGTACACTTTTATTAGTTGCTGTTTTCATAATGGTTGTAATTGCTTTCTAATTTTCATACCAAATTTTAGGAAGTTCAAGAGTTTTCAAAGTTAGCTCAATTGACAGATCTGCCTTTTTTTTTAATGTACAGGGTTTTGTTTTTTCTTTGCCATCAGTTTTTTTTTCAAACAGAGTTTGATTTGTAATCAGTTAATGTCTTTTGACAAAATTGCCTTCACTTTTAAATCTTTTTGCCATTCTTTGTGAAGGCATTCTTTCCCTGATGAGGAATTTTAGGCTCGCTTTATAGATTTTCAGTATATGACTGTTGGTGCTCAATAAATTTCTGGTTTTCCCTAAATTATTGTATTAAATTGAATAATTTGGTGTTGACTGAACCTCCTCGACCATGTGGAGCTCACTTGAGACTTCTGATGACTTTGAAACAAGCTAAGTAAAATAACCAGACCTTAAGAGAATTCACCTCAAATTGTGTTCTTTATAGATCAAGCTTTTCTGTTTGTTAGGCACAAGTTATTATTACTTTTAATGTTTTTGAATTTACATTTCTGTTTTCAATGTTTGGTCAAGTGTCCCGTCAGGCAGTGTGGCTGGTGCTAAGTCAGGTCCTTCCCTGTGCCCTCACCTGGTTTGTCTCATCACCGTCTTCGTTACAGACTGTGCTTCAGGGGGTTGGAAGTACTTTCACTAGAGTGTGGCGCCAGCCCTCTACCTCTACTCCTGTTTCTCTTATATAGATTATTCCATCAGTATTGACATCCCAGTTCTGAAAATCACACCGCCAGGTATCAGGTATGCCCACTAAGCCTTATTCACCATCAAGTTACTTTTACTCAAAGTTCATCTTATGTCCCCATATCCTTTTCATTTTTGGATCAACACATAGGATATAACTTTTGAAAAACAATCCACTCTAAGCTTTCGTTTTGGTTCTTTTGAGGTCTTAGTGCTTTCATGGTTTTCTCCTGATTCTTCATCTAAAGCAAGACAATTCTAGAGATGTATTCAGAAAGACATATTTTATGTGTAGTTAACTTCAGTCTCACTCATCGTTCCTCTGGGTCTTGCTTGTCTGGAGGTCGACGGTTCCCTTTAATAAGGACAGCCTACACCTGTAAGTGCTTCATTTTCATGATTAGTATAAATTGTGAAAGAACTTTGGAAAAATAACATTTGTTGGGGGGAAGGCAGTTTTGTTTTTGTGTGTGTGTGTGTGCGTGGGCATGTGCGTGTGTGTGTGTGTGTTTATTTTTTTAATTGAAGATCCTCTCTGCTATCAGATTGAGAATTGATAGTAATAATCATTATTTAAATGCTACAATTCCTATGCAGAGCTGAGGGTTCCAAAATTCAGTGACAGAAAATTAAATTTTAAAATTGCTTTTTCCTTTAGCCATTAAAGTTTTTTGACATATTAAAAGCGACAGCAGTGCTTTTCTGTAATACTCCATTTCACTGTTCGTGCTGTAGTCAACTCTTGACTGTTAGGGCTGCTGTGTCAGGCCCTTTACCCAGTTTGTGGATTGCCCAGACTCTACTTTTCTTCTGCCATTTATTGTCCACTGTGCATCTTGCCGTCAGAAGAGGAAAAGAAGAAGACTCAGTTCTGACGGTCTGGACTCATGTTAGCTTTCTGATGGGAGGCTTGGTGGGAAAAGACATTGGAACCATGAGCTAAAATGAGTTTTTAAGAACTTCATCTCATCCACGCTTTCTCTGTGCACCATGTCCATGAATAAGTGAGAGTGTTCTGCGTGGTTCCTTGAATGCCTGTGATGCTGATTGATGGCTCTCATTTTTTTCCTGTTATATTTTTTAAGCCCTTCTCCCAAGTTAGCAGTGACACTGTGTTTAGAGGAGGGTGGGTAACGGGTGAGGAGAAGGCACTTTGTACAGATGTGATATTTATCCAGCTTCCTTCTCTCTTACTCTTGACATTCCTATAATTGCCTTAAATTCTTTTAACAGTTTCACATGACAAGTGCAGAATATAAAAGATGGAAAATGAAGAGCTTTAAAGACAGTATTAGGGGTGTGCAACATGTCTGTGATACTAGTAAGAATTATTTTGCATATAGGTAAATATGACAAATTAAAGTAAGAGTCTGTCGCCTAGTAATTAGAAGTTGGACAAAGTAACTTTACTGAAATTTGATTCTTAAGCTAATTAGGTAGAAATTAAATTTCATATTTATATTTCCTGTAAAGTCAGAGTTTTTTGTCTGTGTTTCTCTAGTTGAGAGACTTTGGATAATGTTGATATTTTATCTCAATTGGTATAAGAGCACGAGGTTAGAATGTGACTTGCAGCCATTTCTGCAGTCACATCAGAATGCCTGTGTCCTGCAGTTGTGGAGAGATGGGAATGGGCCAATACGTGTAAAAAAGGCAGTGCCTGATACACATTTTTTTATGTCCCCCATATATTACATATTATTTTTATATAATTAACATTTAGGGAAAGAAAGAAAACACTTTGTATAATAAGTTTTTAAAAATTTTTGAAGGAAGCAAAATCTATACAATGTTAGGGATTTTATTCACAATGTTTGTATAGCTTTTATTTTTGAGAACTTTTAAATTAATGGTGTTTGTCATTACTAAAACTGCTAATTATCTTAAAACTGTAAACAATCATTTTTAAATTCCATAAAAATACAGTTCCTCTACTAATGTTGAAGCTATTTTATATATATGAGGGTACTTCATGGAAAAGTAGAGTTAAAAGATAATACGAATCTTTCCATGAACTTTTTGAAGACCCCTTGTATATGAATGTCAGCAGATTTGGAGATGAATGGTTCTAACTCGGGTGCTTTTGTGTGGCACACATCTCCTGTTGTTTCCGCATGCCACTAGCTGCCTGCTGGGAGAGTGATTTTGAGTTACGTTAGTTAATAAGGGTTTGACTCTGGAAATAGCAGGGTTGTGCTTCACGTACTTACACAGAAGGGCATTGGTGGCATTTTGTGTATGACATTTGGATAGCAAGGCAGACATTTTTAGAGCAACGTCAGCTCCATCATTTCCTCTCCCTAATCTTTGACCAGGGTCCTTCATTCTCTGGCACAGGGCAGACAGCGGGGTGCAGGCCCCCGGGCTGGAAATGGTGGAGTCTCACCCGGCTGGAAGAGATTTGTGGTCATCCGCAGAGCAAGGGGCCAGGGCCGGGGGTCCTGTGGCAGCCATGTTTATTCACAGGCCTACACATTTGCTTTGCCACTTTCCAACAGGGTCAGCTCCCTCTTTCTGCCTTGAGAATTCTTTGTTCCTGAAGCTCAGAGACGGGCTGCTGGGGTCTAAATAAATCAAGTGTTTTTCTCCACTTTGTTCCAGTTTGACCTTCTCTTTGCATATAATATAAAAATGCATCTAATTCCATGATCCCAGCCCCGCCTGCCCTCAACTGAACATTTTTTAGTTCACTTCTAGACAGCTACACAGGAAAGGTAGGAGCCAGTGGTACACAGTGGGATCCAGAGGTGTAAACAAACAGCTTTTATAAATGTGAACAAACTTCTCCAGGTTTTGAAAGTTTAACTGCATTGACTTAAAATTTATAAAAAGGTTGGACTGTTAGTTGGTAATGGGGAATGTTGATAGAAACAGCACAAAACAGCAGATAATCATAAACTCATTAGCATTTGGCACCTGGGTGATCTCTTTTCTCTTTAGTGAAAAGTTGTTTGACTTGTCACAGTTAGACATTGCTTAGATTGATATACTCCACAAAGACTGTACTTGAGAAGCAATCAACATCTGAAGACAAAAACCAGAGCAGAGTTAAAACTTTGTCTTGGATAATCCACAAACTAGGTCTTTCACATACCAACAGTCAAGAGTTGACTGTACTTGTGCTAGCATTTGTCACCTTGCTCCTCATATGCTGGAAGAGGGGGCTCTGTGCAGAAGGCCGTACCTGGTACTCATCATGAGGGAAAGAAAAGTCTGTGCCAGATCCAATAGCATGCATGGTTCAGATACAGTGTTTTCATTGTGTTCTTTCATTAATAAGCTATCCATTTCTCCTAAAACATTTTGACAATCTCATTAATAAGTTGCTTTCTAAAATATTAGCCTTCAAAATAGTGTAAACATAAAGCACAGACTTATTTGAGATGAAACTATACCAAGTAATTTATTAATATAACTACTTGAAAAATGCAAAATCTTAATAGAGATTTTTGACACTGTTTCTGTTAATACATTACACACGCTCAGGTCTAAAGTGTGAAGTGTTATTTTGTGGCGGGGTTGTGGGCTCTGGACTGCTAAGGGAACTGTCGTAGGTCACGTATCACCCTACAGTACTGTATTATTCCGCATAGTGTAACGCTTTACAAGTCCCAAACAGAAATATTTCAGTAAGTTTATAAAGCATTCTCTTAAATTTAAATTTGTTAAATAACGTAAAAAGCATTTCTGTTCAAATAAGGCCAGTGCTAGGTCAATATGAGGTAATGGTAGGACCACTTAGTGGTGGTGTTTTGTTGAGGAATATTATCTGCTAACTTTGGAGAGTTTTAGTGAGACATTGGAAGAAATAAATACTGTAGTGCTCCTATTCCATAGAAATTACTCTTTTCAATTTAAAGATTGAGAACCTAGACCCCCGAGGAATTCAGCTGTCAGCTCTCTTCATGAGTGGAGTAGACATGGCACTGTTTGCAAATGATGCGTGTGGACAGCCAATCCCCTGGGAACACTGCTGTCCCTGGATGTATTTTGATGGGAAGCTCTTCCAATCCAAACTCCTCAAAGCCAGCCGGGAGAAGACCCCACTCATCGACCTCTGTGATGGTCAGGTATGTTAGGGGGCAGGGTGGCCTCCTCTAACTGTAATGAAATGAAGCTTGCTGACTAAATCCATTGTCTTTTATACCATATAGGTCATGAAACCTGTGCCATGAAACAGGACTCAGTTTTAGGCTGGGCCAGCCCAGTGTGTAACTAAATTTGCATCAGGGCCCATGATGAGCCAGGCTCTGGACATACAGTTGATTCTCATTATTTGTGGTAGTTATATTCTAAAAATTGCTTGAACGCTGACTTACAGAATACTGGACCATTACTCCTAAGGAAGTACAGGGTTAGGTTCCTGTGAGGCTCCAGTCACACATTTTCTTCAGCCAATCTGTGCATAACCTTGTTTTATATGTTTTTCTGTTCAGAGACACCTTGTTTAACATATATTGTTGATTTATTATTGTTGAATTCAGGGCCAACAGTACCATAACTCACAGCTAAATGAAGCTTCTCTAACACACTTATTTCCTTCATGAGGCACATCACAGCCTCTTTGTACACTTCACAGTACTGGACAGCAGTTTAGCACTACACTTGGGGACCATTTTAAACAGTGAAATCACCAACAAAAGGCACAGCACAAAAATGAGAAAAATATGGCACTAAATGGGACGTGAAAAGGACACTGGTTCCAACCTGAGCTGAAACAAGAAGGCCCGTGTTGTTTTGTGTTGTGTGACTGCAGCTGGGCCTGTGTCGGGCCGCTCTGCACACGTCTGCAAACACCCGGGAAAGTGCCGTGAGTGCTGATTTTTTTTTTTTTTTTTGTCTTTTTTCGTGTCCGGCAACGGATCGCAACCCTCAGTGTCGCGCCCGTACCGGACCGGGACCAGCAACGGGATCGCAACCCTTGGTGTTGCGCCCGCACCTCGCTCAGCCAGTGAGCGGGAACCGGTCTGTATGTGGGATCCGAACCCTCGGCGGGAGCGCCGCCACACTCCCAAGCAGCACACTATAGCAGTGCGCCACCGGGCCGGCCCGTGAGTGTTGATTTTGGGGTTACAAATAAATGTTAACAGGTAGGCGAATTTGCAGATAGAGAATTCATGAATAAGGAGGACCAACTGCACATTTTTACAGCAGTCGATAACATCTTATTTCTTTATTACTCATTCAAATGCAGTTAAAACGCCGTGAGTGCTCACATCTAGGTCCTTGACTTGCAGGCTGAGCAGGCTGCCAAGGTGGAGAAGATGCGGCAGAGCGTCCTGGAGGGGCTCAACTTCTCGCGGCAGAGCCACCCACTTCCGTTCCCGCCGCCCCCCACCCTGCCCTTCTACCCGCCCTCCGTGTACCCACGCCACTTCGGGGCTGTCCCACCATCCCAGGGCAGGGGCAGAGGCTTTGCAGGTGCGTCGCTGTTGTGACTTGTTCCTGTGGGAAAAGAGAGGCTTAAAATGAGCATGTGGTCCTTGTAGTTGAGCCCTGTCTGGCTGTGTTGAGACCTTGTATTTGTCGGTCTTAGGACCAGTGACTCCTAGTTAGCGAGCGTGAGCTTGAGCCCTCCTGGAGGAGACTAGGAGAGGAAGAAAGGGAGCTCTGAGCACTGGCGCAGAGGCCGCCCTGTAGAATCTGTCAGTACAGCTGGAAACATTCTGCTCCCAGTCTTCATGATGTTTTTTCCTCATGTGTGAGAGAAAATAAATCCATCCAGGTCAGAGCCACCTCTAGTGCCTATCTGCCAGAGCCTGTTTCCCAGGGCCCGTTCTCCACGGCCCGTCGTGAGCCCCCAATGTCAGTGCCCTGTTGAAGGACCTGCTACAGGGAGGGTGGATGCCGGGTGCAGGACAGCAAGATGACAAGGGGGGTCAGGAGACCCGAACACCCAGCAGGTCCCCCCAAACTCTGTCCCTCATGCTTCTCCCTCTCTCTCTCTACCCCGGATCCTACAGGAGTCTGTGGCTTTGGAGGCCCCTATGGGGAACCGGTAGCAACAGGCCCTTACCGTGCCTTCCGGGTGGCGGCAGCATCGGGACACTGCGGAGCCTTCTCAGGCAGTGACAGCAGCAGGACTAGCAAGTCCCAGGGCGGTAATTACACCCACACCCTCCCCAGAGCTTCTGCCTGCCAGCACTTACTCTGCTCCATCTACCAGCGCCTGCCTTCCTTTACTGTCCTTACCAGCACCTCCTCCAACAGAATGCCCTTTCTTCTGGGCCCCGAGCCGACCTCCACTGACTGCTCCTCCCTGAGACCCTGCTCTCAGGTCTCTGCAGCGGCTGTGCTGTGGTCAGTCTCTCCTCTCAGAGTAGACCAGTAAATGTCCACCTAGAACAGAGCTCTCCTGTGCACCCGGGTGAACTGCCCGTCATCTTGTGTTCATAGGACGAGCTGCTGACTGGTACTCAGTGGTGTTTCTTTCCCAAGCAATCATCTTCTGGTAAAGATTATCATACTTTTATAGAAGACTAATAGCCAGAGAATTCCTGGCATAAAATGTCACACTTTGTTCCATAGAAATGTTTTTAAAGAAAGTTTTAATGTCAGATATATAAATAAGTTAGTCTATTTTAAATTCCCATTGTTTCACTTTTCATTTGTATTAGGCTTGCAAAGGAGAAAAAAGTCTTAACTTTTAGCTTTGGAAATAATGTGATGTTACTGTAATTTGAAGCCTGTGACTTAAACCTTTATCGTAATCTCACGTTTTGGGACTTAACGATTTAAATCTGGCCGTCCATTCACATTACAGGATTGTTCAGATAGATTTCAGAGTAACTGTTAGGATAGGCAAGCCTTCCTGTCTCGATCAGCAGTGTTTCTCTAACTCAGTTTCCGGGGGACTTGTAGGGACCAGGTGTAAGGAGCCTTGTAGGCGTGGCCATGGGTTGGGCCCTGCTGCAGCCATGGTCGCCCCTCCTTCCCTGGTGCAGCTGCATGCGTGTTCCCCGCCCTCTGTGTCCCCCCACCCCACCCCCTGCAGGGCTCCTCCACCCATAGCAGCTTGCAGTCATGTGTCCTTTCTGCTGCTTGATCTGCTTCAGAACCTTGTACCTTGGAACTGAAGCTGGTTTGTATTTGGGATGAAAGACTGAGGGAGAGGGGAGATTTCACTGTGGGTAGTGTGCGGGAAGTGATTTCTTAGACTGAGATGACAAGAGGACCTTGCTTCCTAACTTTCCTAAAATTATATCTTAAACTCAGATCTGCACTGTCCAGTATAGTAGCCACTGGCCACATGCACCATTGAGTGCCTTTGGCTGTGGCTAGTAAGTACAAAATATATACCAGATTTTAAAGACTTACTATGGGAAAGAAAAAGAATATAAAATTGCTCATTAGTTTTTTTTATCTTGATTAGATGTTGAAATATTATTATTTTGGATATATTGGGTTAAATAAAGTATATTACTAAAACACTTATTTCATCTGTTTCTTTGTACTTTTTTCATGTGGCTACTAGAAAACATGAGGCTTGTCTTAGATTTCTGTTGGACAGTGCGGACATAGCTGCTGCAGAGGCCGTTGCTACAGCTAACACCAGGATGCTGGAGAATTTGTTATGATCCATTCCCTGTGCCAGAAGTTTTGCTGTCAGTTAAAATTTGAGAATTTTCTTGGGTCAGAAAATCTTAGTATATGCAGGCTACCAGTAATTAATAGAAATTCGTGAATACAATGAATATTTGTGACTCTGCTTAAGGAAATTCTAACTTAACAATACAGTAAGAAATACAGACTAGATTTATTGATTATCTCCTACAATGTTTGGCTAAGGTAGTAAACTTGGAATATTTACCTAAAAAGAAAAACATTCTGAGTTTGCAGATTTTCATCCTGGTAATGGACAAGGCATGCCGTATGCATCCAGTGACAATACTTTATTGGATCTATTTCTATCTAAAAAGTCTTGTACATTTGCAGTTGTAACCTAACTCAGTTGTCATGGGTTCTTAATAATAGTTTAAAACCAAACTATGTGCACATAGGTACCACATCATAAAAAAGCAGTCTTTGCAAAGTGGGGTAAAGCGGCTACATGCTAAATAAACCAAAACCGAAAAGAAGTTTCTTGCTTGTTTCTCTTTGCTGTCCTTAATTATGTGATCGTAAAGATTTTGTCTTTTTGTGTATTTTTTGTGCAGGAGTCCAACCTATACCTTCTCAGGGAGGGAAGCTAGAAATCGCTGGTACTGTGGTTGGCCATTGGGCTGGGAGCAGGCGGGGCCGTGGGGCCCGAGGGCCTTTCCCCTTGCAGGTGGTTTCTGTTGGAGGACCAGCAAGAGGGTGAGTTCTGTGCCATGAAAGAACAGCATCTCAATTGCTTCTTTACGTATGAGTTTAGTAAGGACGGTTTTTAATATCATTAGATACATTCTTCTTTAACCTCATTGTTAATGGTTGCATAGGATCCAACTATATAGCATTATGTAATTATTTAGTTAACCATTATTAAGTAATTAGCCATACATTATTTAATTGACCAGGTGCCTTTTTAAATTATTTTTTTAAACTAACATTTTTATTATTTATTTATTTTATTGCATAGGATCCAACTATATAGCATTATGTAATTATTTAGTTAACCATTATTAAGTAATTAACCATACATTATTTAATTGACCAGGTGCCTTTTTAAATTATTTTTTTAAACTAACATTTTTATTATTTATTTATTTATACACACGACATACACTGGCTTTTTCATTTATTTTTTTTTAGATGAGATCCTCATGAATTCCTGTTGATATTTCTAATTCAAACTGAGGACTACAGGGCTTAATCTCTTCTCTAGTACACGGGTTCGCCCTTTCTTCTGTTGTGAGTCACTGTAGGCTTTTCCTGTGCACACACACATATACTGTGCACATATGCACACACATACAGTATGCACACTTGTACATATGCACACACACACACATACATGGTGCTCTTGCTTCCCCCTTCCCCCAATGAAATACTCCATGAGTTTATATTGAATCTCCTCATTCAAATTTAGGATTTCAGAAATCTCACTTAACCTCTACTATTATATCTGAATGTCCTTTCATCCATCCTGAGAATCTTGGTTAAGAAGCCAGGGGTTGATTAAATTAGAATATCCTATAACTAATCATTTACTTTATCCCATATTGTGCACACAACAGGCTCAGAATACCTATTAATATTACTATCACCAATATAATTAACTGAATTAAAAAAAAATGTTTGCAAATGCTCTCCCCATTCTGCCCCACCATTCTTGCATTTAAAAAACATAGCTGTGCTTTTATTATCTCCATGACCTAGACAGATAGCCACGACCTGCTATACTTTCCCTTCTTACGTCATTTGTCTTGGTTCTATAAATACCTCATGCCTTGGCCTCCCACTGGGTCTTGTTTCTGTACGTCCATTTTGGTCTCTGAAACTTTCTTCAGTAGATCCTGCAGGAAAGGCTCCTCAGGAAGGACTTAAGGAAACAATAATTCAATTTGAAAACAGTTTGTTTTCCTTATAATTGAAAACATTGGCTCACATTTTCATTCCTCAGGGATCTTATGTTATTTCATTTGCTTCTGGCATAAAGTTTGCTGTCAGACTGATAATCATCTAATTTTTTTTTTTAACCTTTGAAGTCCTTGCTGTTTTGGACTAACTGCTCAAATTGTTTTTTTCCTTAAACGTTTAGTGACTTTGCTCAGCTGTACTCTGGTGCTGGTTATTTTGGATTGGTGTACTCGGTATGAAGGGCACTCTTTCCAAATGGAATTTCAGATTTTACTTTATTTCAGAATGTTTTCTTGAATTGATGGCTTTTCATTTCTGTTCTCTTTTTTCGTTTCCGTCTTCTGGTGCTCTACTTGTTTTCATGCAGGTTCTTCTATGTCTGTCTTCAGTATTTGGCATACTCTTTTCATTCCTTTTTATATCTTCCTTTCTTTTTTGATAAATAAAAAAATACTATGCAGTTCACCTGTTTAAAGTATATAATTCAGTGGGGGTTTTTTAAAGACTAATTTTTAGAGCAGTTTTAGTTTTACTGCAAAATTAAGAGGAAGGTACAGTCAGTTCCCGAGTCTCCCCCACTGTCAACGTTCTCCACAGAGTGGTTGATTTGTTATAATTAATGAACCTACATCGACACGTCATTATCACCCACAGTCCATAGTTTACGTGATAGTTCAGTCTTGGTGTTGTACATTCTGTGGGTTTGGACAAAAGTATGATGACTTGTGTCCCCCATTATAGTGTCACACAGAATAGTTTCACTGCCCTAAAAATTCTCTGTGCTCCGCCTGCTCATCCGTTCCTCCCCGCAACCCTTGGCAGTCACTGATCTTTTTACTCTCTCCATAATTTTGCTTGCCTTTTCCAGAATATCATATAGTTGAGTCATGCAGTATGTGGCCTTTTCAGATTGGCTTCTTTCACTTAGTGATATGCATTTAATTTTCCTCCAAGTCTTTTCGTGGCTCGATGGGTCATTTCTTTTTAGCACTGAATAATGTTCCCTTGTATGGATGCACCACTGTTTGTTTGTGCATTCACCTGCTGAAGCGCATCTTGGTTGCTTCCAAGTTCTGGCAATTATAAGTAAAGCTGCTGTAAACATCCATTTGCAGGGTTTTTTTTGTGTAGACATAAGTTCAACTCCTTTGGGTAGATACCAAGGAGCATGTGCTGGATCATTTGGTAAGACTATATTTAATTTTATAAGAAACTACCAAACTGTCTTCCCAAGTGGCTATATACCATTTTGCATTCGCAGCAGCAATGAATGAGAGTTCCTGCTACTCCACATCCTTGTCAGTATTTAGTGTTGTCAGTGTTCTGGATTTCGGCCATGCTAAGGTATAGAGTGGAAGCTCTTATTTTAATTTGCATGTCCTTGATGACATGATGTGGAACATTTTTTCATATACTTATTTGCCATCTGTATGTTCTTTAGTGAGGTGTCTTTTAAGGTCTTAACACAATTTTCTAATTGGGTTGTTTGTAATCCAGCAGGTTTTTTTTTTATTGTTTTGTTTTGTTGTTTCGATGGCTGGCCGGTAAGGGGATTCAAACCCTTGACCTTGGAGTTGTCAGCACCATGCTCTAACCAAGTGAGATAACTGGCTCTAGCCCCATCTGGTGGTTTTTAGTCTATTCTCAAGGTCAAGCACCTGTCACCAATTCCAGAACATTCATCACCCCAACAAGAAACCCCCTATCCAGTAGCAGTCACTCCCCGATTCTCCCGTCCCCCTCGTCCAGCCTCTGGCCACCCTTGATCTATTTTGTGTCTCTGTAGAATTGCCTTTTCTGTACATTCCATAATAAATGTACATACTGTAGCATGCAGTATTTTATTCCTTTTTATTGCTGAATATTGTTCCATGTATGGATAAACCACATTTATTTTATCCATTCATTCATTGATGGACATTTGGGTTGTTTCCACTTTTTGGCTGTTACAAATAATGGTGCTATGTACATTCATCTATAAGTTTTCATGCGGACGTTTATTTTCAGTTCTCTTGGGTATGTGCCTAGGAGTAGAATTGTTGGGTTTGGTAATTCTGTGTTTAACTGAGGAACTGCCAGGCTGTTTTCCAAAGCAGCTGCACCATTTTACCTTTCCACCAGCGAGGATCCTGGGTTCCATTTTCCCCACCTTGTTGCCAACACTTGTTTTCTGTCTTTTTGATTCTAGTCACCCTAGTGGGTGTAAAGGTGGTGCCTCACTGCAGATTCGATTTGCATTTCCTTGTCTTCATTTCTTTCTAGTTAAAGTTTTTTTTGTTTGTTTTTGGGCTTTTTTGTTTGTTTGTTTTTTTAGTTTTTACCTTCTTCAGGTAAAATGGTAATTTGTTTTTGTGTTTCTTCATTTCTGGAATGATTTTTTTTTTCTTTTGAATTGTTCTCTTAAGTTTTTTCACCTCATTTCCCAGTGTTTTTAGTTCAGCTTCTGTGGTTCTTTCATGTCTTCTGTCATTTTATTGCCTGTTTTGAAGTCAGAGGGGGCACTCTTCGTCTTTTTTGTGAACCTGTCTTCCTGCCATGCTTCGTTGTCTGTGGATGTGCTCCTTCATTCTGTGTTCTCTCATTTCTTACGAGTCGGGTGTGACTCCATCTTGGTGCTTTCTGTTGTTGCGCATTTTTAGATGAGGTTAGTGTTCATGTACCTTGAAAAGGGTGGGTGATGTGGGCAGCTTTGCTCTTCCTCCTGTTGGCTTCGTCTTGTGTTCCAAGTATGGCAGCTTGCTTCCTGAGAGTTCCTTGGCCTTCTCTTTCCTTGTCTCTGTTGTCTCTGACCACTTCATTTCGGGGTGGAGCCCTGTCCTGGTACGAGGCCAGTTCTTAGAGGATGTAACTAATAGAGCAGAGGAAACATGCTGCAGACTGCCTCATGATGGTGAAGGCTCTCCCGAAGCAGATTGTAGAGACAGGGCATGTCTGTTTCCAAACAAGTGAAAACCATGCTTCCGTCTCAGTCCCATGTCCCCTCTGTGTACATTCCTCCCCTGTCACCCTCTGACTGCTCCCTAATAGACAGGCCTCTATTGTGGTTCCTGCAGCAAGTGCCCATGAGGTGGCCGCCGCCAACCATTGGCGTTCCTATGATAGATGTCAGTTTAGAGGTGGACTCTCCCTGAGAGTGAGGGAAATGGATGGATTTGGAGGTAGACTCTCTCTGAGAATAAGGGCTCTGAAGTTTGAAAAGATGTAAAGTGTTTAGTGTTATTTTTCTCCCCTTCTTGGGCCTGCTATATTTTTATATTAATTTGTCTCAGTGTTCCAAGTATTAGTATTTCTGAACTCTAGAGTTGGAAAATGAAATGAGAAGATGTTATGGGAGAATGCATGAGTGCCCCTGGTTTATGGAGGTCGTCCCTAAGGCGAAGGTCACAGGGTGCAGTCTGTCTCCACCTGGGTCAAGCAAATGGGCTTTGTCTTCAACAAGACAAATACCTTGGTTTTCTAGTCCTCCTGTCCTGGCTTCTAATTTGTGGAGGCCAGGGTTGCTGCTGAACACCCCACAGGGCACAGGCTGGCCCCATGGCAGGGAGTTAAACAGGGCCACAGTGTCATATGCCAAGGTTGAGGAACCCTGGTCTATGATATAAGCAACTAAAAGATCTCAAGCCATCTTTACTGTCCTCACAGAGAGCTTTGTCTTTCAGGAAATATGCTGAATCATTCTCAAGTTTCAGTTTTCTAGAAAATTATTTTTAAATCTATTAGGAGGTGGGGATAGACTCATTCAGAAAATCATTCTCAAGTTTCAGTTTTCTAGAAAATTATTTTTAAATCTATTAGGAGGTG